CAGAATTTGTAACCTTTTAAATTTATTATGCCTGTTAAATTTCTTCAAAGAAAAATAATAAATAATTAAAATGTCTTTTTAAATATCGTTGTCAGAGTTCAAAGAAATTAGAGCATTAGATGAAGGTAGAATTTGTAATGAAATGAGAGGTAAACACTTGAAGATTCCAATTCTCTCTTTCAAAAATGAAATTATAGTACTCATAATAAAAAAATGTTTTTTTTATGAAAGAGAAAATTGATAGACCATTTTCTCAAATAAAATTTAATTTTTATTATAAAATCCATTTACTTTACAAGGAACAATCTATAATCAATATCAGTAACTAAGAATCAGTATAAAATCTAAAATATCAATATGCTAGCAAAATCTAAGAACAATTTTAAATTAAGAGTATAAAAATGATAATTCCTCCGTAAAAATAGAGTAAAATACATATTTTTCGACTTATTTCAACAGTTTATTTGATAGGCGAATTTAAATTAGTTATTAAAAATTATATTATTGCCATTTTAATTTCATCAAAACATCACAAAACTTCTTTATTATATCCAAATTGTTACCTTTCTTTCAAAAATATTTTCCTTTTTTAATAAAAAATAACATTTTCCCTTTTTTAATAAAAAAAATTATAATTTTTTTCCTTTTTTAATAAAAATTAATTTCCCCCCTTTTTTAATAAAAAAATAATTTTTTCACTTATTTAATAATAAAAATTTTTTTCCCTTTTTTAATAAAAAATAATTTTTCCCTTTTTTTAATAAAAAAATAATTTTTCCTTTTTTATAAAAAATAATTTTTGCCCTTTTTTAATAAAAAAATAATAAATTTTTCCTTTTTTAATAAAAAAAATTTTTTTTTTTCTTTTTTAATAAAAAATAATTTTTTCCCATTATTTATAAAAAATAATTTTTTCTCTTTTTTTAAAAAAATAATTTTTCCCTATTTTAATAAAAATTAAAATTTCCCTTTTTTAATAAAATAATGTTTTCCCTTTTTTAATAATTTTCTTAACTAACATTTTTTAAATTTTTGTTTCTCTTTTATAATATTTATTACCAAGATTCTTAAATGCCTCAAAAAGTTATAGAATTACTCAAGTAACTGCCATAAAGTCCAACAAAACATAAACTTTCCAAAAATAATTTACAGACAAAAACTTCTGGCTTCAATGAATGTCAAAGAAATATTTTTGTTTGTAGTTGTCTCATTCGTATTTATCCTTAAAAGTGGAGGTATCTTAAATAATGAGTATTCTTGATTGTCTCGTAGTGGGTTAAATTCTCAAAAGAAATAACGTAAAATATTTATTCTTTGCGAAGCAACTAGCTTTGATTTTTGGCAATTAGCCGTAAGAGATTAAAGGACAAAATCAGAGAGCATACTAAATCAATGTTTAAACAATTGTGCCTGAACTTTATAAATTTTGATGTCTTTGAAGTTAAAATCATTTGTTGTTTTGATGGTTCAGACTAATGACTTGCGCTAACAATTCTGCATAGAAATGCTCAAAAAATTAAATATTCAGTTGTGCCAAAACGTAATTATTTAGCAAAAAAATATTCAGCGAAGTCGACACATGAGACTTCATCGTAGCTTGGTTGGTTAACTCTTTGAGTAGCAGAAGGAAATTCTATATTTGAAAATTGATGCTGTTTAATCAAGAGTATTTTAAATGATAGACTGATGAATATTTTAATAAATAATTTACTGTGGCAGAGTTAAGAAAATTGCAGAAGAGTTTCTCTCAAAATTTTTCTGAAAGGGTAATTCTCACTTTCTTAAGTTTTACAGTAGATGTATTATTTTACAAGGCTTTTAGTATGAGGTTACTAAATCTGTCTTCATAAGGGTCAGTAAAAAGATCGAAATAAGTCTGCGCAAGCAAAATAAAGAAATATTATACATATTTTAACAGAATAGCCTTATTTTTTCCTTTAAATATGTTAAAGGTAAACATTATATAGATAATAATAAAATTATTTTCAATATCTAATGTCAAAATTATTTCAAGGACTTTAAAGAAACCAAGTAATTTTCAGATATATTTAATTCAAAAAACCAAAATCTTCATAAATGAGAATCTTGCTTGGCGAAAATATTACAATGATGAAGGGATATGATCACAATATATTGGAATTTCAATCTAAATGAAATCTTGTTGGGTAAGAAATATTTTTTTAAAAATATTTCCCAATTAAAATTTTCGTACTGTAGTGAAATTCAATTGGTTAATTACTTTTACTGTTGTAAGTACTTAAAAAATAAAAATACTTTTAGCTAGGTAAAATTATTTAAAATGTGATAAAATGGCAGTTAATGCTCAATTGAATTAAATTCTGGAAAATATTTTAATCAGCTTTGAAAAAAAATTAATATGCTTCAGTTTTCGATGATTCTTGCTTTCTATTCCATCAGCAATAAATAAATGAAGGAATTAATTCGTATCAATTGATACGAATAAAAATTAAATTGAACTAATAAAAATTAAATGTCGTAAGATGTTTACTTATGCTTAAGATTTTTTTCATTCATAATATTACTTAAGGTTGAGCAAAAGTCAAATGTTATTGAAATATTAAAATAAGAAGAGATCTTAAAATTTCGTTTTTTTGTCAAATGAAATAATAAAAAGTAAGCATCGTTTATCTGCTTAGAAAGTAATATTTTAATAACGTATATCTGGTGGTTCAGCGAAACTTTTTGTTTGAAAATACATTTGATGCGTTTTTTTTTGGCATTTGTGTGTACTGCTATAAATACTGTTTACTTACGCATGCATGCAAATGCATTGTATTTACTCTCTTTCCTATATATATATATATATATATATGAGAATGTAAGTGTATGATTATATGTTTGTATTATGTAAATGCGTGAAATATTATGTTATTATTATGCGTGAAATATTATGAAATATTATTGTATGTATGATTGTATGTAGTAGATACATATGCATGTAGGTTTGTGTGTGTGATTGTGTATATGTATGCATGTAAGTTTGTGCCTGTGTATGTATTTATGTACGCATTTTGTATATTAGTACGCTTTTGTGTATGTATTTCAGCTTATATGTATCTGTATTTGTGTACATGTGTGCATATGTATATAGATGTGCGTGCCTGATTCACATGGTTTCAAATAACAGAACTAACTGTGTAAATTCTTCTAACGTCGACAAATCATCTTTTTCTGCTTCAAATTAAATCTATTTCTAAACATTTAATCTAAAACATTTTATGTAACCTATTTCAAATCATAGCTGAATTATAAATTATGAATTTTGCTTTCAGTTTTTTATATTTGTTTCTTTGGGCAAAAAAAAAAAAAAAAAAAAAAAATACATGTTTGAATTAAACGCATGCTACATATGTATAGAAGCAGGAAGAGACTGACTGCTTCTCAAAAATATGTATATAATAGATCGATAAAATAAAAAAAATAATAATCAAACGCAGAGGACAAGAGAAAAATTACTTGTACATGAAACTCATAATTTACTATGGGCAGTTCATTCATATACCTTTTCTACTAAAGAACGTGTTCAATTCGATTTTAATTAACCAAAAATTTAAAAGAAAATTACATTATTAAAGGCCCAAATCAATATATTTTTCATTAATATTCCAACGATACAACAGCTAAACTGAATTCACCTCGACAGTAATTTAAACGGACATACATTTTACAAAGAATAGACTTTTGACGTATGTTTTGTTGTTTAACTTTGTTCAATCGTATGTTCACCATAAAGTTTTAATCAGGGATTGAAATTTAGTGGGCTTTTAAGCCTTCGAGAATTTTTGTTTGATAAACAAGACTTAGGTTGACAACGCATTTTATTACATACTGTTGAATTTAAAATTAAAAGCGTATATCATATGAGGCTAATAAAATTTAAATGGGATTTAAATTAATCTTTAAAAATATGTAATGGCATTGATGCAATTATTGTTTTCTCTTTTTTGAGAAAATATTCAGTAAAAATAATTGAAAATATTTTATTTTTAATGCCCATATATTAAGCATTTGAGTGTTATGGTATGTATAATATGTGGAAAACCGAATTTTTTCATTAATATAAAAAATATTAAAGAGACCGAAATCTTATCACCATTTAAAGACTATATTAAAATCTTAACAAATGTTAAATGAAACGATGTTCACAATATGTAATGTCATATACATTTTTTAAATAAAATCTATTAAATGTGTCGAAATTTTTTTAAATTCTTATGAAGGGTGCAATTTTAATGCTTTTAAAGCTTTTTAGCTGCCAGTTGAATAAACTCCTTAAAATTTGTAGCTTTAGTAATACTGTTGTAATTACTGTTGCAAAATGATTATAGCCATCAATATAACTATAAAAAAATTTCATAAATGAATATATTTAAGTTATACTCATTTTATTAAATGATGTCAGTATTTATATATAACGGATAATTCTGACAGCTTCAATTAGTAATAATAATAATAAAAGGCAAATGCTGAAGTTTTACCAACACCAGCTGCTGATTCTGTATGTAGTAAATTGAGTTAAAAATTGATATAATGTTTATAAGTTATGTTAAACAAGTTTTGAAGTAACCTAATAAACTCACAAATACAGGTTGTCCAAGGATTATTGTATGCATTATAAAATTATGTAAGAATTAAAATGTCGTTATTAATTTACAATGTAGCTATAAAAGTCTATAAATTTCGATATGAGATTCCTTAATTTCTCGATTACTTTTTCCTTCCGATATTTAATTTCATTCTATTTATTGGCATATATATGGACAGAATGTAATTAATATTAGCTGTGATTCTAAAGCAGCTGCAACTCGTGCCTACTGTAACGGCTGCTCAGTTATTGTAAATAAGTGCAAGGCAGCTGAAAGACACAATCTTTCAGACAACCCCACATGAAAAACTACAAAAACTGGAGAATGTCACTTAGAATTCCGTAACTCCACAGATGTTTGATGCCATTATTTGGCAACAAATCGAGTACGGCCAACGGCCGTACCATGCTGAATATACCGGTTCTCGTTAGATCACCGAAGTCAAGCATCATTGGGCGCGGTCAGTACTTGGGTGGATGGCCACCTGGGAACACCGCGTGCCGTTGGCAAATTTGGGACCTGAATGGCCGAGTGTCTAGCGCTCTGGCGCTCGGTGCCACAGGTTTCGGGTTCGAATCCCGGCGGTGCCATGGGTGTTTGTAGTGGTTCGGAATCCACTTTAAGCCGTAGGTCCCGGTCTCCTATGACTGTAAGAGCGTCACGGAGCAAAAGTCAGGCTTCTACCTACGGGTGCTCCATCACAACAGAAGCTGCTTCCTTCCCCTTCAATCATGAGTACGTACGTGCTTGTGGGCTTGGCCAGCCAAGTGGGATAAGAAACAACAAACAACAAAACAACAAATCGAGTATCGCACGGTAACTGGCAACGGGCGTACCGATTACGGAGTACCAACAGGGGGAAATACCCCTTAAACCCCCTCATCTTAATTCATAGACATGTTTTAAATTATAATTGGCTGCTTAGTTAATGTTAGTAGAAACTGCAAGATAAAGTTTCAAAATTCAGTTATAGTGGTTCTCAAAAAAAAAAAAGAAAGATAAAAAATACTAATAATAAAAAGTAAAATGCAAAATAAAAGAATTTAAAGTTAAGTTTAAATTCGGTACAATCATTGACCATTTGTCGATGCCATAACTATTGTAAAAAGTAAACAGAGTATTAACTCATTGTGATGCAAATAGTACATAGTTTCGCACGGATGATTGCGACAATCAATTGATTTGACATAGAAATTTATTAATCTTGTAATTAAATTGTAAATTATTTAAGGCATTTATCACAATATCTTCTTGTTTTATTTACATCATTTTGTAATGTGTCCAATAATTCTTGGATCCTTTGTATATTGAGTCTTTTCGATGTGTTTAATCTATATACATAAGGAAAATATACCGCTTGAAATAGTGTTTGAAGTAACCTCTACATTAAACAAGAATTTTACTTTAAAAAAACATGTATACAAAAAAAAGTATATTAATGTCTTTTTTCTTTCTTATTAATGGGTTGCAAGGGAAAAATCTCTAGAATAAAAAAAGTAATAAAGAGATTATTTAAGAATCAAGGAGAAAGAAAAATCTTGTAAGTGTAATGAATTTTTGAAAGTTTAATGAAGAAAGATGAAAAATTAAATTTTTTATGCCAACTTTGAACAAGACGAGTTAAAAATTCAGGTATTCTACATTTAAGAAATGTGAGCTGTTTTTGAGAGAATGGATCGCAATTTTTCTCGGAGACCAATGAAAGAAATAAAGAATTTTTATTATATAACAAAACATATGTAAGACAGCTACATGAATTTGGATATTGTACACCTTCTGTCATTGCGGTTTTTGTTAGAATCATGACAAAAATAATCATATCCCCCTAGGAAACTCAAAGTTATTCAATTGATATAGATCTTAATAGAATAGTTCACCTGATATTAATATTGTTGAACTATTATTGTTAAACATACACACACGCATATTGAATTAAGCACAATATATTATATGCGCTCATGCAATTCTTGCATATTGCCACTTACAATAAAGAAATATAAACTGCATGTTTTTGATAGCAATGTAACTTAATTCACTGTAAGTTATCCAATGCCGTCCAAAAGTGATGAAATACAAGTAAAAGTATATGTAATTTAAAATTAATTAAAAGGTTTGCAGTTATATCATTAACTCATCAAAAAATTGGTCAATTAACACATGAAAGAAACAGAAGCAGTTAAATGCCTAATTCTTTAAAATTATAATTCAGTAACATATGTGTACGGAGACAGTTTATGTCCTGAGACAAATATAAAGCCGACGTAAACGACGTCGTTATCTAGGTTCTAACGTTACTTGAATTTTTAACAGAGGTGTAATTCAGAATTATAAAATCAGATTTGGAAGGATGAATCATAAATTAACAAAATGAAAAATAGAGAATTACTCTTACTTGCTGTAGCCTAATTTACACTTATGTTTACCTAAAAAAAAGCCTAATAGTGCTACTTGTATGTCTTTTTTTTTTCTAAAAAAAAACGCGTGAAATAGCATAATAAGTATAATAACGTAGCGCGGTGTAATGAAAAGATACTGTATAAAGAACTTCATCGATTCAAAAAGCTACTGTGGAAAGAACAGAATTGATTCGAAGAGCTACTATTGTAATGCATTGATTAGAATAACTACTATGGAAAGAATTGTATCGGCATTGCATCGAAAATAAGGAATTGTTATACCAAGAAGAAATTTAGAAAATAAAATTCACTCTTTAAAAGCAAAATTATCTATTCATTGACATTTAAAAAGACATTTAAATGAAAAAAAGATTTTTTAACAAACCACCTCTTAATGGTTACAGTCGAAAGGCATTAATTTTTTTATAGCATTTATATCCGTGTAACACAAGCAATGGCAGCTAATTTGAATTTTAAGTGCGAGATCAAACAGACTACATAAAATTCCAAACTTAACGGTGCAACAGGGATCCACTAAAGGAACATGGAATTAGGTCAAATTTAAGAAATATCTAAAAAACAATACCTCTTAATTACCTCTTATGTCTGATCTTAATTACAAGAGACATAAAACGAAATTTAATATACACTGCATAAAAAATAATGGATAAGGAAGAAAAATATAGTTGTTATCGAATTAACACCATAAATGAAAGAAGCATTATAAAAAAATTAAAAATGTAATTTTCTGCCAGACTTGCTCCTCAGTGGTAACGTGAGCAGTTAGCCTGCAGGAGGGTTCCCGGTTCGAATCTGCTGTTGTCGCCGTCGGGGTCCTTTTTTTATTCTTATGAATAAACATGTAGATCCATTATCAGTTCCTAATACGCTTTTTTTCTTTCGAAAACTTCTAAACAATAAATGTATACTACATTATGTTAAGTAACTTCGGAAAAAAAGGATTTTCTTTTAATATCTTGCTTCAGGGTAGTGCCAAGTGAAGAAAACAAATGTTAAATTGGGAGTTGACTTTAATCTAAAATCTCCATTAAAAAAGTTTTTGATGTATATAATGTTTCTTCCTCAACAGCACACGCTCACCAAACAATTGAAGTATTAACATTTAGCAAGAAAAAGTTGTCACAATATAGACTGAAAATATACGTAACAATAGTTAAAATTTCGCAAAACGTTTTGAATCCGAAATGTTTTCACAAATTCCTCAATATCTGTTTGCATATATGTTCATATATGCACTCCTGCTTTCAGAAACGGTGAGACTCTATAACGATTACATCAATGAATATCATACGATTCGCAAATGTCCTCCCCTCCTCACCAGTTCGTGAGTTATTCATGGCATATATCAATGGAACACGAGGCCCACCGATGTTCAACAACAACAACAAAAGATTCAATTCTCAGTTTAAATATATGACACTGTAGATACATTATTGTTACAGATACTTTAAGAGTAACATGTAGCAGAGTAACATTTACATTATACTTTTTTAATAGCATTTGCTACTATTCTGGTTCTTTTTCCAATATGGGTTTTTCATAACAGACAAAATTTTTAAGTCTTGGCAAAGGACGATACAATCGTACTAATGTTATAAGAACATAATCCGTTACTTTTAATAAATATATTTTGCTCTTTTGTGTGTATAAATTTGCTATTCTTCTAATAATCTTAGTTAATTTATATAACAGATATTAATAAACAATAATTATCAATGCTAAAATAAATGATTATTAATACTTCCTACGAATGTCTTTTGGTGTTCATAATTAAACAGGGCAATATTTCATTGTTATTTTAAATCTACTGATAATTAGTTAAGTTATGATTAGTTTTTATTTTCCCTTAATTCTCCCATTTCTGAAAATTTTGTATTTTACGTAAGCAAACGGTTAAATAAAGAATTCCCATTTAATTGGTTTATTTCATAATTTAAATAGAAAAAAAAACTTCATGTGAAAAATGGTCCAAGATTCAAATTAGTATTTTAAAACTTTATGAATTATATGACGTTGTTTATGGAATTAAACAATATAAAAATAAATCCTACAACATGATTTATTTTCATTGGATTTCAATTATGATGGGTAATTTTGTTAACATAAATTTGTTGTTGTTTTCAAATGCTGGGAACTTTGATCTGAGGTTAATCACCACTAGAAAGGTAGATATGTAGTAGATTCAACATTATCCAAGGTGACCAACGAAAGACCTGTTTCAATATCACCCTCATATTATCACTACATCATCACCACAATTTAAAACGACACTCCATGCACAGTTTGCAGGTATGGAGCCGTACGTTACTCCTATTTCTTGGTAACCCAAAAAGGAACTTCAGACCTATGTGTTCATTGACATAAGCATGGTAAATTTCGGTTTGGAATGGTTTGCCAGCTTCAAATTCTCAATGTCGGACATCAGATAACACCTACATGTTACCCCATCAGGGTCCTACATGTTACTCCAGGAAAACCTACATGCTACCTCCAGAAATCTTACATGTTGCCCATCAAATTACAGCCAATTCCTGAAATTATTTTATTCTACACAATAGCTGTGTTTTATAAATTGTTGTAAAGTTAAGTATAGATTTTTATATATAAAAGTTAAATAATACATATCTGTTGAAGAGTACAACCTCTACTTCAGACATCGAAGAAACTTGAATAATGAGTCCTTCTTCTTCAAGGGTGGCTTTTTTGCATCCTCCCATCTGTTAGAACCAAATGGAAGGATTTTCTGGTTTACGAATTTATCGTGTCAACCCCAGGCATAGATATGGGAACTTTCGTATTGGCATGGCTCATTGGGTTTATGCACCAGGCCTCACATGGGCCATAGAGGTTGATGATATGTTTAATATTTGTTTCTTATGAAAATAATTAAATTTCGTGTCAAACATTTGTCTTTATGAGAGTTAATTCCTTGGTAGGTTCTTTAAATTTGACAGATAATGTAAAACTTAAATAACCATTAAGAAATTGCATTAATTTTTAATGGACGAACAATAATTTAGAAAGATCAGAAATTTTATTATCTATAAGCAAATGGCAAATGATTATTAAAGATCTGTAAATAAAAGTG